ACACACACACACGGGCGCGAGCGAGCACACACACACAAACACACACACAAACACACACACACACACACACACACACACACACACACACACATACACACACACACAAACATAAACACACATGCGCACCGCACCGCACGGCACCGTATCACATATTATTATCACTACATCTCACCAAAGATCGTACATAACGATCTTTGATCTCACCACACCTTACAACACTCACTCACTCACTCACTAACATGTGTTTAGTAAAAAGTGTACATTGACATGCACTTGTATAACCAAGCAACATTGGAATTATGCTGGCCTCGAACCAATGTAAACAAGGTCAGAGGCTCAAGCAGATACCCAAATAACATGCCCCAGAAAATCAAGTGCGTGAATAAAAAGGTTTTCCAACAGGGACTTTGGGGCGAGCGGAGGCGGGGGGGGGGTGTCTCAATTATTCATAACTTAGAAATTATTGTAAAACTTGGTAATTATTCTCTTTAATGGAAGTTAATCATACGCCATTAAAGAAGTAGCTACTTGTTAATCATATACAAGTAGAGATTAGCTACAAGTTAATCATATGCTATTAGAGAATTAGCTATACAAAGTTATCACGATCACGCCGGCACAAATTATGCAACATTTTACGGCACTTTCCGCTGTACCCAAGGACTCTCCACCGACACTATTTGAAAACCGGTGCACTTCATAAAGCTTTCAGCTTGATTCCTCCTCCGCTCAATCCCTACGTGCAAAAAAAACCCCAACGTCTACCCCTAAACCATTATAGATCGCCATAATAATATAAAAACGAAGGGTCTCTGTAATTACAAATATTTTTATGCGGCTTGCACAATGAAGGGCCAAGCAAACAGCTCGGAAAAGGCGCGTGTAAACAGGTGTGGGATTCTCTGTTAATACGGCCTCGGTCCGCCTTTCAATTCACTTTGAAAATGAAGTGCCACAGGGCTAATGATAAAGTGTAAATAAACTGGGTGAATAAAGAGAGAATAAAAGACATTACATTTCTCAAGCGGCTTAACCCTGGCCACCAACAGTAATAAACCAATGTAATAAAAAAGACGGCTCGTTTTAAGAGTAGCACGTTTAAATCTAATACGACGTATTGAATGGGCGAGAGCTTCATAATTCTCGAGTCCCCAATAATTTTCCAGTAGTGGCAGACAACGCACATGTACTTAAACATACCTCTTAACTCCAGCATGCGCTTAATGATCGTCTATACGCAAGCCTCAAACCGAATAATATTGTTATGTTTTGTTTATTCAGTTGTTGACGCTTTGAACCTTTTCATACCGTCTTAAGGTTTGCTTTTAAAGAATCGCCATGCCTCATTTGCTTATTGTTTCCTTTATTTGTTATTCGTGAATTTGGGGGCATATTTTGCGTGCTTGGAGAAAGACACCCTGCTTTAAAAGCATGTCTAAAAGTAGTTTTTTTATATATAAGATTAGGGTGTCGTGAAGACTGTAAGCCGTACATGCTCTAGTTATTCCCCAAACTAACGAAATAAAAATTATGAAAAATATTATTTTCGGTGTGTTTGAAGATGGTCCTAGCTACTCAAACAATGATAGTAAAGGGGAAAAGGGAGGGGGTGGATGAGATCACAAGGGTACCAGCTATCAACTTTCAGACTTATAAATAATTTTAGCTAAGATAACATCCCCTTTGTTTCATAACTCCAAGAGCTGTCCAATGATAAAGGGGAATGACATAAAACCATTAATGAGAGTAGATAGTTTGCGGATGTTCTAGTGTACACCCATCTCGCTTTTCTCTCCTCCCTTTTTTTCTTTGTATATTACTCTCTAGTACACCTCTAATCTTCAGCACTTATGATATGACCTATTTGTGTTGCAAGTGTTGTTAAACAATTTTTATAACTAAACTAAAAAATGTTTGGGAAAAAAACATTAATGAGACCTTGACCACCTACTCTTTGCAAGACTCCAGTCTGCACGGTCAACTAATGCAGCAGATACCGATGGAAATTGTTAAGAGAGCCACAAGCATTAATAATAATTCGAAAAAGATCTATAAACATCATTTGGAAAGGGAGACACCCACTAAGAAAAAAAAAAGGACAAGGGTCAGAAATGCACGAAATACTAAGAGCATGACACTTTGGCCTCGACATTTCTGCGGTTGTTTTCTGTAAATAAATGGAACTTAAAGTTCTGTGTCGGCCGTGGAGCAAATAATATTGCTGTTATATCACGCTTTGAACATTGTCTTTACCGTCGCTTCTATCAACTGTAGAGGTTGTTTGTTTGTTTTAGTTCATGTTGTTTTTATTTAGTTGTTTTTTTGTGTTTCTTTTTTTTTGGGGGGGGGGTGTTTGGTTTGTTGTTGTTTTTTTGTTGGGTTGTTGTTTTTTTAACTTGAAGGGATCACGCAACATAGAATGATGTAATTACGTTATGGTGCGAGAAATTCAACTTTGCTCGAAAATGTGGGTTTACGGTTTTGCGCTGAGCCAGGTTCTTGGTAATTAATTCTTTCTTGTAATGTGTGCACGTACAAAGGCAGCTTGACTATAAAGTTCCTTCATGCCAGATACAGTCGAAATCGTTCAAGACAGCCACCCTTCGTCAAGAAGAAAAGTGGTTGTTTTAGACAGGTAGACGTCTCGGACAGAGCAATTATAATGTATATGTATTTTATAAAACCGCAAGGGAGAAAATATGAAATGTTTGTTGACACAGGTGATTGTCTTTGACAGTTAGCCGTTAGAGCAGGTTTGGCTGTATTTCGTGATTTTGTACTCGTACTATACCCACCCCCACCCCCACTAAAATAACTTGTCTATATTATGAAACTCCTATAGGCTAAACAGTTTTAGAATTTTGTACGACTCAGGCAAGATCAGATCGGGTTGGGTCGATTAATGACGGCGACAATACATACTGTATCGAATTAACCTTTGTTTTGCGTTATCAAACTTGACCCAGAAGTCCATTTGGACCTGTTGCATTCCGAGTGCAAATAAAAGATGTGATCCCCTCTGATTATTTGTTTCTATAAAATGTATCAAACATAACAAAAGTTGTCCAAGAAAATCAGACAAGTTTGATTTTGGGGGGATTTGATGAAATATAATCTTACTACTAATGGAGCTAAGGCCAAATTTTGCGAACAGTATATTCTCAGAAACTGCTGAATGAAAAAATATGAAACTTTGCCAGTAACCATAACTTGAAACGTAGTGTTGCACTATTGTATTTTCATTAAGATCAAATGTGTAAGAAGAAAGCCAATTTTAAGTTAAATTCAGTCCGTTTGTAGTGATCGCCATCATTTGCTTCGACATTGTATATTCGGTGCGGAGTGCCGACTGCGCCGAAAGATAATTTTGTGTTCAGTTAAACATTAAGTAGGTTTACGGGAATTCCCGATTTCGGTCTCACGCTTTCGGCCGTCTTCTCACAGCGGGTTTGGAGCGCTCATAGAAGAAGCAGAAGAAGGGGGAGGAGGAGGAGAGGAGGAGGTGGAGGAGGAGGAGGAGGTGGAGGAGGAGGAGGAGGTGTAGGTGTAGATGAAGGAGGAGGAGAAATGAAGAAGAAGAAGAAGAAGAAGAAGAAGAAGAAGAAGGAGAAGGAGGAGGAGGAGGAGGAGGAGGAGGAGGAGGAGGAGGAGGAGGAGGAGGAGGAGGAGGAGGAGGAGGAGGGAGGAAGGATGGAGGGTGGGAGGGAAGAAGAAGGGGGAGGAGGAGGAGGAGGAGGAGGAGGAGGAGGAGGAGGAGGAGGAGGAGGAGGAGGAGGAGGAGGAGGGACTTTTTCGTTTGTTACTCTACCTTGGGAGAGAGAGAGAGAGAGAGAGAGAGAGAGAGAGGGGGGAGATGGGGAGAGAAAGGGAGAGAGAGAGAGAGAGAGAGAGAGAGAGAGAGAGAGAGAGAGAGAGGAGGCCAGAAAGCACTACAGAGGGAGGGATGTGAGAGTGACAGGGAGGGTGTCGTCGAAAGCGCCAAGAGTAGCCTACCGTAGGTCTACTTAATGTATTAATTGGTCAAAGTCAAAGGTTCAGCCAATCGTAGCCCTGTTTACGCCCTGCGTGTAGACGCATGTGTGTGTATGTCTAGATCTAATATCTAGATCAAGATTTAAAAAATGATGAAAGTATTGAAAGTAGATTTCTCCTGCAGTTTATTAGCGCGCGCGCTGAACTGCGATGAAAAATATTTTGTGTTCAGTGTGTTCGTATGTAGATCTATGTCTAGATCTAAATCTAATATCTAATCTAGATCAAGATAAAAAAAATCAAGTAGGCCTAACTCTTTTTTTAAAAAGTGATTGAGCTGGAACTTTAGGAGAAAATGCCACGCCTTCGCAGAGGGGGAAGAAGTCTTACCCCTAGAGGTAGTCAAGAGGGGGTGCTACAAAATGGATAAATTCAAGGTAAAATGTGTATGTTTTGTTTCTTTCCTGTTTTCAGTCTTTTTCCTGTTCTTAATTTTCCTAATACTTGCTCATTATTATTCCGTTCGTAGAACGGGTACTTTTACTAGTATGATAATAAATGTCCAAGTGTAGATACTCTGGTGTGGTTTTCTCCCTCTTTCCTATCAAAGGTCTATCGTCCTAATCTCATCTTGTTTCTTTTCTTTGTATGTTACTCTCTAACATTACCCTTAATCTTCGGTACTTACATGATCTATTTGCGTTGCAAGTGCCGTAGTAAAACTCTTACTAAAACTAAACACCTGTCTAAGATTATATTTTTTCTCCTCAACAATGGATTATTGTTTTGGATAGAGTTGACTGTATTGGAATTTTCACCTCTTTAATTTTTCCTTCACTGTCCATAGGATTGCTGTTCGCCCTCGTCGCTGCTGTGGACTTCAGTGATTGGTTTGACCATGATTTAAGCGAGGTGAGACTGATCGCCAATCTTTTGTGTTTCGGTTTCTGTACTGTTCAAAAGCCATTATCTTCTTTACAGTTATATCTTTGGAATGTCCTTAAGGTACACGTAATCTCCACTTCGCAACTTTTCACACCCATAATTATTGTCATTTGTCGACTGTTCTCATACTGTAAACGTAAGTTCCACTTCGCAACTTTCCTCAATTATTTCGAATAGACTGATCGCCAATCTTTTGTGTTTCGGTTTCTGTACTGTTCAAAAGCCATTATCTTCTTTACAGTTATATCTTTGGAATGTCCTTAAGGTACACGTAATCTCCACTTCGCAACTTTTCACACCCATAATTATTGTCATTTGTCGACTGTTCTCATACTGTAAACGTAAGTTCCACTTCGCAACTTTCCTCAATTATTTCGAATTGACGATATCCTTAAACTTCTCGTTTTAATAATGCAATACTAGGCTGCGCATTTAGTATTATGACCCATTGCTCATTTTACGCTTTTTTATTTCTGTTCTTTAACATACACCATATTCTTGAACTTTTGATTCAACATGGATTTTAAGACTTTGATTTTCTGTCGACTTTAAAAAATACATTGACATATAATCCGTTTTGTCCACACGATCGAGTGTTTTTGTGGAAATGTAAATTATGTTTTAGGTCTGTGTGCTTTTGTAATTCTACACGGTATTTCAAGAAATATAATCTGACGCTCTTCTGGTTTGTCTACGTCTATGTTATTCTGTTAACGGTCAATGATTTTCATTACTTTTACCTAATTTATGAGGAGTTGTGTTTTAGTGTGTCCGTTTTGATTTTTTATCAACTCATAAAACATAGAGGTGATTTTGAAGATTTATTTGCACATTTAATGGGAACCATTTTAAGAAAAAAATTCTGATTATCAATCAGATAAAGTGGTCTTTAATGTTCAAATATCTCTTCTCCTCCCTCACCAGGCGGGGAAAAGAGCTACGTTCTTTGTGGGTCTGGGACTGGTGGCGTTGGGGAGTGGCGGGTTCCGACCCAACATCAGCCCCTTGGGCGCGGAGCAGGTCAAGCATCTCGGAGACTCCGCGGTGGACACTTTCTTCAGCTGGTAAGATTCCAACCTGTCTTCCTGTCTTTTTCCCCTATGGGTATAGGTGGTTGGCGGGTACCCAGGTGTGGTTTGTCCTTTTATTCCCTTCAATCTTCGATAGTTCTTATATCTCCTCCTTCTTTTCTTGTTTCGTTACACTCTTCTCACACCTCTAATCTTCGGCACTTCAATTACCTGTTTTGTGCAGCCAGTACCACCAAACTCTTAAACAAACTAAAACATCAGCGATTAGAAAGAAAATCAATTTCTTTTTTTTTTTCAATCCCATGCCTTTTCGTTCTTCTGATCATCTTATAATTAAACCACAATCCATTTTGCCTTCATTTCCCACAGGAAGCATACGTGTTTTTCTCGGCCTTGAGACAAGCTAGTAAATTGTGCAACAAGTGCCATAAAACTATTTAAAAAACTAAACTTCAACTGCTATTCCACATCTATCTATCTATCTATTTATCTATCTATCTATCTATCTATCTATCCATCCATCCATCCATCCATCCATCCATCCATCCATCCATCCATCCATCCATCTTTCTAACTATCAAACTATCTAATCTATATTATATCTGTCCCCCGCACTCACCCCGACCCCCTCCCTTTTTGCCTCTTTCTTGATCTATTAATGATTTGTCTCTCTAATCCAGTAACAGACCCATGTTCATACCCCACCCAACCCTCCCAACCACAAAACTCACTTCCCCCTTCTTTTCAGGCTATACTGGGTCATCGCGTTAGGGTCGACTCTGGCCTATACAGGCGTGGCGTACTTGGAACAGAACATCAGCTTCGTCTGGAGTTTCTTGGGTCTTTTCTGTGTCCTTTTCCTCACCCAGATCATTTTCCTCGCCTCAAGGTCGCTCTTCAATCGTACTAAGCCTGAAGGTAGGTATATCATATATTTTTTAAATTAATAAGTGTTTTACGGCCCTCACAACTGCATAAGGTCATATGAGCACGCGGGACACGCTAAACATTTTCAGTTGGTAGGAAATTTGGAATTTTGCGCGGGAGGCGGCCGAAGTCTACTCTTATCGATTTTTGGACCACCAAGGAATCTTTAACGTGCGCAAATTGAACACGGGACCTCCGAGATTTTTAGCCCTTGTCGGAGAAGGCTATAGATCTATGTAGATCTTTCCAACCATACGATCAGGGATGTGGCTGAAAGACAGCAGTAAAAAGGAGGCAAGGAGTCGCAGTAGAAAGGCTGCAGAAAGAGTCAGGAGCCCAGAGGAGGAGGCAAAGGGGGTGAGGGGATGGGGGCAGAAAGTGGAGACGAAAGCAGACGACAGAACATTGTTAGAGAGCAGGAAATGATGTAAAACAAGAAAATTTAAGAGAAGAAAAATGTCCATCGCTATCCGGATTCGAACCCGGGGCCTATTGAATGAAAGGCGAACACCTTAACCTCTAGGCCACAAGATCCCCAAGGTATTTATTTTATCTACAAATTATGATGAAAATGAATATGAGGTATCAAGAACATCTCTTTAGTGTTTGAAACGGAGTGGCTCGCACCCTCAGTCTAGCGGGATACAAACTGAGCTGGGCTCATACCCTTAGATTCGGTGACGCTGATACGGTGTTCTGCTTTGCTGAAAATAATCTATGCTAGACAGTTGGATGCCGGATATCAAAGAAAATGTGTCGTAGAACATTATGTTTTTGTGTGGTTGGACGGCGCTTCGCTGTGGTTTGCTTCCTCTTTCCTATCAAATATATATTGTCCTTACCTCTCCTCCTTTTTTTTATATGTTACTCTCTAGTTATAGCTCTAATTTTTCGTCACTTTATTACATGTGTGTGTTGCAAGTGCCGTAAACCTCGTACGCAAACGAACTTAAACATCATGCATGTTCTTTAAAGCGTTTAGAAATGAAACGAAATGTTTTAACCCGTGCTTTTTCTTGGCTTTGATAACTCGCCTCCTTTTTGCACACTGTACTCACTAGTAACTTATCAAATCTTTGAGTCTTGATATGATGTATTCGCATTGCAAAGTGCCGTAAAACTGGTACTAAAACTAAAACCACAACCATCTCGCCTTCTTTTTCCATAGGAAGCGTACTCCGCGTGTTTTTCTCCGTCCTGAAACAAGCTTTTTTTACAGTAAGTCATTTGACCATTTTTGGTTTGGTTTTTTTAGTCGGTGTTTTTACACCGCTGTATCGACACAATTCTGATCATTTTAGAATTAACCGAGTTTCTAATTCCAATTTTGTCTAACTCAGGGTTAATGTTGGTGGGCGGTGGAGATCACCAAGCTGGTGAAAGGTGTTATTTTATGCACGGCTTAGAAATACAGGTAGCTTAGGATGGGTGGTACAAAAATTAAAAGTGTCAAAAGTGGGCGCTGGCTAAAAAAAAAAGGTTGACAAGCACTGACGTAACTAATTTGCAAGTTGATTTATGTAAAAGCGAATGGCACACTTGTATTCATGCTGGTTAAATATAGACCACGCAGCAGTACGAAAAAAAAATATTTTAAGCATACTCACGTACAACGTGTGACAACAATCACTTTAATTGGCTGTCACTGTCTTCATTCCTTACATAATGTCTCTCTGGCACGGTGCCATAGCACTCTAGGCCTAGTTTAGTTTTGGGGGTGGGGTTTTTTTTGTTTTGTTTTTGTTGGGGGGGGGGTGCTTTGGTCTGGGGTTCTATTTTTTATGTCTTTTGGAGGGTTTGGGGTTTTTTGTGGGGGGGGGGGGGTTATTTTTTTAATGTCATAAACAAACTGTGATATGTAATAGAAAACCTGAATAATATTTATCATATATAACACGTGTGGCCGTGTTTGTGAATGTATGTTGTGGGAGGCAGTGATGTTATGGTGACGCAGATGGCTGTGTATGTGTTTGTTTCCCTAGCTGTTTTTGCAAGAGTAAATGTATGTATATATGTATGTGTCAGTAAGTATGGCTGAGTGTGGTAGTAGCGTTGGAATGAATGTGTGTTTGTGTTTCTATTGTGTTAGAGTATACGTTTGTGTGTGTTATGTTTACGTTTGTGTGTGTGTGTGTGTTATGTTTACGTTTGTGTGTGTGTGTGTGTGTGTGTGTTTGTGTGTGCGTGCGTGCGTGCGTGCGTGCGTGCGTGCGTGCGTGCGTGCGTGCGTGTGTGCGTGTGTGTGTGTGTGTGTTTGTGTGTGTGTGTAAAAGAGAGAGGGGGGGAGGGAGAGAGAGAGTATGGTAATGTTTTTGGCACGAATGAGTGTGTGTCTGTAAAGCTTATTGTGTGCATATGTTATTTTGTATGACTGATATGTGTATGTTGGGCGTGATCATCAGTATTAAAATACACTGCTCCTTCGTCTTGCTACTTTAAATCGTTGGTGCAAAAAAAGTTACTGAGCTTATTAAGTTGCTCAGTTTCGTCCACGAGTATTTGGAAAAATTCGGTCACATAACGAAGCGTGAGTGTTTGGGGGAAGCCCTGGGAGGTCCTACTTCTTCATTTTCCGTCTGTTATTTCAGTCTGTCTGACTTTTTCTCAGCACTAAATGATCATTACCGAGTCTGTGTGCTCTTTACTCAAACAGACAAACAAATCAGTTTCGTCTTCTATTATACCAAAACCTGTTCGTAAACCTATTCATAAGGACCCAATGTTGATTTTGTTAAAGCATCTGGCAAATGCAGCCTAGTTTTCCTTCTGTCCAGATCAAGTTGAGATAATAAAAAAAGACGTGTGGAACTCATGAAATCGATGTGACGAATAGACTGCGCGATACGAAGATGCAAAACATACACGTACTTTGAACTCGTTACTTTGAACCCTCTGGTTATTTTCTCTTAAATTAATAATTATTGTTTCAGATTATGAAAAACAAGTTCTCAATTTCTTTATTTTCCAAAATTAGATGTCTCACGAATTAGCCTAAGCATAATGACTTGAATCGTCACCTATTGCTAATAAGCATTCTATGGTATATCTTTGGCTTAACATCATCGTGTAAATACTCGTATCGTTGTTAGCGCATTTACGACTTTCATGTGAACAACAAAAGAAAGAAAGAAACAATGACGTGGAGGTTAGATTGCCTGATTTTGCCAAAGGACTTTTGTCTTATGTGTCGAGAAAGGGGCATAATCACAAGAATTTTGTAAACACAGTTACAACTTTATTTATGGTAGCGTCCCTTTAATTCAGTACGGCTTCATTGGCTCACCGAGGGGGACTCCCTTCCATGAGGATAGGAGGGGCCTTTTAGCTTTAAACATGTGTCTAATACAGCTCAAAGAATAATCTATGCTTTGTTGACTGATTAAGAGCGAACGAGAGAGAGAGAGAGAGAGAGAGAGAGAGAGAGAGAGAGAGAGG